AGAGAGGGCTGAAAGCCCTATGAAGCGGTATATAAGTCTAAGTCTAATTGCTATGCTATAATACTAATAATAATCTTAGATTTTGATGTCCAAACACTTTCCATTCTGAGTTCTCTTGAAAATGCCAGGTCAAATTACGGTGATTCTGACCTAGGCTTCCCCAGCAGCACGAAGCCAAGTCCTCATCCCGATAAACCCCTTTTGTTTAATGGACAGTGAATTCCTCTTCAACAAAGTCTTTCCTCTCCCACAGTCTTTCAAGATAGCTCCCAATTACTGACCTTTATCAGGTGTGGAGAGAGGCCAGGCCGATATCTTTCAGATGCCGCAATACTTGGCAAGAATGCAGGAATGAACTAATGGTCTCCTGCAAACTCCACTCCCCTTTCGCTCTTTTATTTCCTCTGGGAGGGGCCATTCACCGTCCACCTGTGGCCTTACTCCCAAGTCGACCCTTGTTCCTTAGCTGTTCCCTTCGTCTGGCAACTCTGCGCATGCGCACACTGGGAACAAGCTCCTGCTGTTCCTCTGCCTCACTGATGTCTGACTCTGACGGCAGCTGATAACTGTCAGATGGCTCTGGCCCCCTCTCTGCCTCCGACGCAGAGCCTTCAGAGTCATCAGAGCCTTCCCCAGACTCTAGGACTGGCGCATCTTCCTCCCCAACCTCCTCACTGTCCGAATCTGCTGCCAGCTCTTCTGGCCGCTGGTGGGCCGCAACAGGCTGGGTGTGTGGAATAAAATATCCCAATGGGTTTGCTTGCATTTGGTAAAGTGATCGATGCAATTTTACCGTTGCGCTCACCTCAAAACCCTTCTCCTTTCAAATAATAATAGTCATAATAACCGCAACACAGTTCCAAAAGAATAGCAGAGCCATCTGTGCAGCAGATGTGTCATATTTCATAGGCAAGAGCTGGAAATGATAAGAAGAGCCTAATCTTCTTCTTTGGAGAGCATCATAACATCTTCCCAGGGCCTGACGTCTCCTTTTTGTTACCCCGGTTTTGTGTTCCACTCTTGGTGCCACCTTTTCCAATCTTGCCTCCTTCCCTTCACCCACCATCTTTCTCTCTTGGCGCCTGCTCACTCTCCCGTGGCCACCTTTGGCCCCTTCCTCCATCAGAGAAGTTTTTATTTGGGCTACCTGCTGAGGGATATTAAGATGTGCAAATGAGACACTTGTGGAGAGAGAGAGAGAGAGAGAGAAATCAGTATATATTTCTTCATTCCAGTTTGACTGAAGAAGATGACAGTTTTGGCTGTGATGCTCTGGAATTAGAAGGTAAGAGATGTTTGGAAGATGTTCTTCTTTTTAAAGACTAGCGTTCTGAGTACAGTCACATCATCTGGTGGACAGAGATGATCTTCTGGACCTTATTTAGACCTCATAATTCTTTATGAATTATCTCTTGTCTGAAATGTTGCCCAGTCCTACTCCAATTTAAAGGTAAAGACCTATCAGAAGAATAACAAATTGTCCATCCGCAGTTCCTACTTGGCAGGATATTCCTGGTCATTTGGGACATCTTCATGTAGGCCTTTTGTCAACGGTAGAGTTGTATGCCAACAGCTTTCCTCTAGAAGGTCTTTCAACTTCTCAATCCCGACAAGGTCAGCCAGAAGTTTGCTGCTATGTAGAAAGGAACATGGATGGATCCATAAAGTTCATGAGAAGATCACCAGGAGACCAACTGATTTGGAAAGACTCCTTACCCTGTTTTGTTTTTTTCTGAACCCAATGAGAATCCATCCAGGCAAATGTGTCAAGTCCTGTCTCTATTTCAATCCGTTATTCCCTCTTTTACTCTTTCTTTGAGAAGGATATTTTTCCCCTCCATTTCATGAATTTATTTATTCCATGCTTCCTTTTCCAGATGATGTCCCTGACAGATATTCCTCATTACCTTCCTCCTCATCTTCTCACCATTCTGAAGGGCTGGATCTAGAACAAGTCAACTCTATTTTCAGAAAGTTCTCTCTGGAAAGGTATGGTGTGACTTGCAGTCTGCTTCAGGTACTCCACAAAATGGGATTGTAAAATTCCTTTTTTCTTGGATTGTACCATTACTGGGGGGTTACTGTAGAAACAGCGGTCACCAATTTTCCATGAGAAATTTTTGATGGTCCTCAGGAAAATTATTTGCATTTATTTTATATTGCACGAAATCCGGGGTCCTCAAAATACGGCCCCTCGGATGGATACGTGCAATGAACGCTTGTGTTGCTGCAGAGAGTCTCCCCCTTCGGGGTCTTTTTGTGGGGGGCAGAGGGGGGCAGAAATTCCGACTTGGGGTCTGCTTCGGCCTCCTGGTGGGGGGCTTTGGGTGAAGGCTGGAGGGAAGAGCCGCTGGTGGTGAAGAGCCGGAGGGCCTTGTTCCACTGCATCATGGCCTGGAATTGGCTGACCATCTNGACGTCAACCATCTAGATGTATCCTCCAGACAGACAAATGTTGAGCCTTATTTCCCTGGATCCTTTCCCCAACCCAATTCCTACGTCCAGAAACTATCCTGGCCTGATGGAGGAGGAACTCAAATACGAGATGATGTGGTGTCATTTCTCCACTCCGCCCTGAAGGCGATTACAACCTTCCTGAGTTCCATTACCTTGAGCCAATTTAAAATCTGATGTTAAACTTTCTTTTTAAAAAAGAAAAAAGAAATCGGGAAATTCAATCACAAGTATCTTAAGTGAAAGTTTAGAGGCAGGAGGAGAACGCAGGAGAGAGTGATCATGTTCGGCCCATTCCAGACACTAGGTAACTACTGTGTGCTGTCAAAGGCGTGTAGGGATCGTAAGTTTTTATTCGTCCAAAATGAAAACATGCAGTGGAAACTGCCTTCTCCTGGTCGTGCAAGAGGAAGACATTTACTATATGATTTTACTGATGGTATAACATGATCCGAGGCAAGCGTGATCATTTATTCAATGTTTTCCTACCTCCGTTGAGCGTTCCCCGATCTGATTTACTGGGACAATTTTAAGCGCTGAGTTAGACCTTTTTCACAAGCGCAGGTAACATTCGTCTGACGTCTGGAAATAAAAAAGCAGCCAGTTTCAGGGGGGGACGTGATTGGAAGAAGGCACGGAACGTGTTGGTATATATAATCCTCAACCCCTACAGCAGAGATCCATCTTCTCTGCGGGAAGTTACGGTCCCTGCAGGAGCCATTCCGAGTACAAAAAGTGAACCCAAAAAAAGATTTATACACATTCCTTCTCCTTGCCTTCCAGTCCCAGCCTCCAGAAGCTTCGTTTCCTTTCCAAAAATCGGGAGCGTTGTGTGTAACATGTAGTTCGGCCTCCAACGTCATGAAGGAAGTGGTCGATCGTGAGGTCACTTCCTTTTTTCCCCTACTGCCTTCAAAGGTGGTGTCCATTCCTCTCTTGCCATGTTAGAAAATCTAGTGCAGGTGCTAACACTAGCAAAAGAGGGGACACACACACACACAGACACAGACACACACAAACACACACGAGGCAGATGCATATGGCTGTGTTCTAACCTAGGCTTCGCCAGCTGCACGAAGCCGAATCCTTGTCCCGATAAACCCCTTTTATTTAATTGACAGTGAATTCCTCTCCATCAAAGTATTTCCTCTCCCACAGTCTTTCAGGATAGTTCACAATTACCGACCTTTATCAGGCTTGGAGAAGTGCCAGGCCGATATCTTTTCAGACTCTACCGCAATACTTGGCAAGAATGCAGGAATGAACTAATTGTCTCCTGCAAACTCCATTCCCCTTTCGCTCCTCTTTTATTTC